CCCCCCCCCCCCCCCCCCTAGTTTTTCAAGCCTTGCTATGGCCTTGCCTCAATTTGTGCTGTTACCTACTCAGTGTGACTTATCTCATATATTAAAAAGTTTCAAAAGGTTGAAGAAGCAAACTACTGAGAACATGACACCAATGCAACCTACAAGACTATTTTAAACTCATCTCATGCCCAGGGCCACATAATGCTGTCCAAAATCGTTCAATGTTGCCCATCATTGCCCAATATCTTTCAATTTGTTCACAAAACAATGTCGCATTGTGTCGCGGCGACGATAAGTCCCAAAGTAGACTTGAATTGTTTCGTGACATCATTTAATATCCTACAAGTAATGCAACTACAGTCTATTTCATACGTCCACAGTTATTCTGCCTCAAGATACTTCATAGCAGAAAGCATTTTTCCTTGAGTCAGTTCGAGGTGCACCATTCTTCATATTCCTCAGGTAGTTCCGGTGTATTTTTGATACCCTTAAAAAAATCAATCACATCCCCACCTTCGTCGACATCCGACATCTTCTCCTCCTTCTTTTCTTTGATAGTGTCGATGTGTTCCTGGGTTGTTAAAACCCACTCTGTTGGAAAAGGCAGACAGAGTTCCTTCGCCTTTTCTTTGCGTACTGGCTTCCCAACCTTTTCTCGTATTCGCTTTTCTGTTGCGCTAAACGATGTAGTGTCTACTGCTCCGATTCGTAATGCAAACAGTGTACTTGCTGTTGTATGCTGCCCTAATCCTTCTGAACATTGATCCTTAATTTGCTTACACACTTTCTCCATTCGACTTCCACCCTTTTTGATCGAACGGTGAGTAAAACCAACTTTACACAACTTCCATTGCTTACCATTTTCTTTAAATGGAAAATCGCCAGCATTCACGACCACAGCATACACAGCAGGACTCTCTTTCTCCCTGCGAATGCGATCGTCCAAATTTTGTTCTTGAGCATAATTGTTTAGCTTTCTAACCAAGTTGTTTCCATAACTTCCTTCCCAAAACCATTTTAGAAACTCATCTTCTCTGGCATCGTTTTCAAAAAACGTTTCATTTCGGTTTTGTTGAATGTCGCTCGAACCCGGCACCGTTTTCGAACTTGATTTTTGGCTTGTTTTGGGCTTAGTACCAGTCTCTAGGGACTTCTTTTGGACATTCTTTTCAGACATGACCTATGTACGTTTATTTCCTTCTCAGTCAATACTTCAGTCGATCGAACTTCAACTCGATCCTACGGATAATCTCGCGAAAAAGTAGAGACAGTTTTGTAGTCTAAGCTGATCTTTGGTCTTCAAAGTAAACCATTATTATAACGAGCTGAGTCACAYCTGTCATTACATTTGAATAACAGAAGATCTTACGTGGCAAACCGGTAAAACACGTTCCACAGGTGACTTCGAACAAAAGATTTCCTGAGCAAGCCAAGCTCTGCTCTCATGTGCCAGAGGTTTCTCAAGAACCTCTCAGAAAACCCCACAAAGAAAACAAAGAGAGCAATGATCATGAAAGACTTCAGAAAAGATTTGCATATAATACGGTGGCCCATAAGGGACATGCCAATACAAAAATGTAAATATTCAAAATGCCAGATAAAAAAATGCGAAATGCCAGATAAAAAAAAAGCAAGATGCCAGATAAAAAAATGCGAAATGCCAGATAAAAAAATGCGAAATGCCAGATAAAAAAATGCGAAATGCCAGATAAAAAAATGCGAAATGCCAGATTAAGAAAATGCGAAATGCCAGATTAAAAAATGCGAAATGCCAGATTA